AGTGGGAAAGTATTTGTGGATAAATACCTATAACTTTGGTATGGATCAACCGATTTTAACAAAATTAGTGTCATTAGAAAAAGTATGGATGAATTAATTTACATCTACTATAAAATAATTGCATTTAGTTTTAATTGTCGTAGGTAGAGGGTACTTTCGAATAAAAAAAATAATAAGAGATATGAATAAAAACGCATAAACATAAGTAAGTATAGTATTGACACACCCTGTATTATGAATTAAATTAAAAAATAAGTCATAGGTACTTTCAAAATTTTTTATAGAAAACTCTTAATGTTGATACCTATTTTGACCATTGATATTTCATATGATTAAAAATTGTTTTTTCGAAACTAAGTAGGCCACGACAATGAATTTGACAGGGAGTTCATATTGTTTATTTATTGACAGCAGTCAAAATATTGTTAAAAAGTGTTATATGTATTATAATTCGAATTGTCGAAGATATACTGGCAGGAGACATTGTGGCAAAGAAGTAGAGATTTCGGACTACTTATATGTGGATTCTGTTCACTTAAAGCAAGAACATTGATTGAATTATCTTTGGTCATAACTCTACTACGTCGTTTAAAACAAGGACGAGAAAAACTACCAGTTTCTCTTAATCTTTTTGCCCTTCTTTCAAATACTTCTTTGCCATAATGTCTCCTGTCAGGATATCTTACAAAATATATACGTGCGGCAATAGCGGCATTTTGGTGACATTCGAAAGAAACTCCAATCATATCATACAATTTGATATTAATTACTAATATTACCAATATTAATATCTATAAAAAAAAGTGCAATCTTTAATTCAAATTATAATATAGCACTTCTTAACAATGTTTTGACTGCTGTCAATAAATAAACAATATGAACTCCCCGTCAAATTCATTGTCGTAGCCTACTTAGTTTCGAAAAAACTATTTTTTACAAAATAATTATCAACATTAAGATTCTTCTGCTATAAATAAATTTGAAAATACCTACTGATTTGTTTTTTAATGTAATTTATAATACAGGGTGTGTCAATACTATACTTACTTATGTTTACGAGTTTTTATTCATATCTCGAGTTCAAAAAAAGCTATTAACATGCGGTTTGCTTCATTTTATTACGAATTTAACCCAGTTCCATTATAATTTACAATAAATAGGTGTTTCCATTAAAAATTTTGAAGGAAAACAAATATTAAATTTTTTTTTATTTGAAAGTCCCCTCTACCTACAACTATTAAAACTTAATGCAAGTATTTTATAGTAGAAGTGAATTAATTTATCCACACTCTTTCTTATGACACTAATTTCATTAAAATCGGTTGATCCAAACCAAAGTTATAGATATTTATCCACAAATACTTTCCCACTCTCCCCCACCCTTTATTTGAAAAAATAAAAAAAAGTACTTGAACAACTTTGTGCCGAATTTATGCCTGTTTCTAGTTTACTTATTTAACACTTGGTATAAATGGACATATTTCCCAAAAAACTGGTTTTCAAATTTTTCTTCGCAGGTTACGCGGCCTAGCGGTTAATCCAGAATCTTGAAAGTTATTTTCAGCGATTTCTCTTGGCCACTTTCACTAAGGAATTTTTTCTACTAAAGTTATAACATGAACAGTTTCTGATATATAGCGGAGAGATCGGCTTATTGGACCACCCGGTACATATATAAATAGTTGAAAATTGCTTCATATCGATAATTTTCCAAGTTTTGTAATTAATTTAGCAGATAGTGATATTGACACTGATTTTACACATTATCAATGTTGTCACTAGATGTATTATAATTTTGTAAATAAATGTTTCATATGCTTTTATTTCTTTAATGTTAAATATTGAAGTTAACTTCTTTTTATAAAAATTGGTAATGATTTTATAACACTAATTTTCTATGTAAATCGAAATATCTCATGTAAAAATGGTTCTTGGGCTTAGCAAGGACCTTTCAAAAGTTCAAAGCCAAAGCCTTTCCGTACTGCTTAAAATTATGCATCACTTGTCAAGGAACTATATTAGTGAATATACCATACTTCTTTTTACCCAGAACCGAATGAACCCCAAATGCAATATTTTTAATTGAAGTTTTTTCATTGCAAACAATATAATAAATAAAAAATCCTACATTCTTCTGTTTTTAAAAAATCTCCGTAGTTTACATTGTTTAATTAAAACAATCATAACTTTGTATCTATCAAAAATATAGTAATGGTTAATTAATTATTTATTTGATTCAAATTCAGAATGATGTTTCTACCGTTTCGACTGCAGATCCCGTTTTAAAAATCCTTGTTGCATACTGACACATATTCAAATATTACTCTAATTTGTTACGTATATTAAAATTGTGTAAATTGTTCAACATAGTGCATAGCCTATGGCAGTATAATTGTCGAATGTACACATATTTTGCGTTTCAATTAATTTGTAGACCGTGGTTCATTACATGTTTGACATGTACACCAAATAATTGAATTGCAATATTCCTCTTTTTCTTTGAACACTTCAGTACAAAATAATGAATCAGTTTATTTGACTTCAGAATTAGAATTATGTACATTAATATAAACAAGCAAAACTGAACTAGTACTGACTTAATGATGAAACAACATAGCCCAATGAAGCCATCCATGGAAAATAAATCACCAGATAATTAAATTAATGAAGAGTTGTACTCTGTTTCAATTTTGTGTTGTTATAGTTGATTCTGTTAAGTTTAATATTAAGTGACCGTACAATTTTCGTGTCTTCTAAAAAACCTACAAATTGTTTTAGAACTGAGACATCTTTTGAAAAAATTTAAATATTTTAATATATAGCATACTTCATCATCATTCAGCCCATACTCGTCCACTGCTGGACATAGGCCTCCCGTAGTTCACCCCACAAATTTCTGTCCTGAGCCGCCTGCATCCAATTTTGATGTGTCCGTCTCAGGCCATCCGTCCATCTTGTTGGTGGTCGTCCTCTATTCCTAAAGGCATCTTGTCTGGGTCTCCACTCAAAAATGCGTTTTGTCCATCTACCGTCCTTCGTTCTCGCGACGTGCCCTGCCCAGTTCCATATTAAGGTTGATATTCTTTCGATTGCGTCGGTTACTCCCGATCTACGGCGCAATTCTGTGTTGGGTATTCGGTCTCTCAGGGTTAATCCCAACATAGACCGTTCCATTGCCCTCTGTGTTGTTCGAATTTTGTTTGCGGACGTCTTAGTAAGTATTAGCGTCTCTGCACCATAGGTTAGAACCAGCAGCACACATTGATCGAAGACTTTTCTCTTCAAGCAGATGGGAAGAGCTGATTGGAAAACATCTCTTAGCTTTTCATAAACTGCCCATGTCAAATAGCATACTTAACTTTCTTTAAATGCCAACAAATGACCGATTAAACCTCTCAATTTACCAGTTTAATACTTTTTGTATTCAATAAACAGTCGTACTCTTTATCATGTATATACAATGTCCCAGAGGACAGAAAACGATATTATTAAATCGTTTTCGTTCATGGCCAACACAACAGATGGCACCTCTGTATGCTAACCACCGCAGTGGTAAAGATTTAGAAGACATTCGTTGGACTTTCCGAGAAGTTCTCCTGAAACATCAAGACAAAGCAGAACTAATCTGACTTGACAATGGCAAGTGCGACCTTGCCGAAACGTCGTCAAAACAATGGTTTTTCTAAAAACCAAAATTACTTAACGCGGAGTCAAACCCGGAAAACAACTGAAATCACATATAGCTCCCGCGGAAACTTCAAATCCAATATATATATATATATATATATATATATATATATATATATATATATAATATATATATATATATATATATATATATATATATATATATATATATATATATAATCAAAACATGTTTACATTAAAATAAACTCTTTTTGTGGCGTTCCAATTTGATTTTCTTGTTTATTTTCGTTGTCTTATTCTCTGTGTAAAGCTTTCTAAGTTAACTCGATTACATTGTTAGTTTTCAAGCAGTGAACTCAATAGTTTGTATGTGGAAAATATGTTGTTAGGATAAGAAAAAGAATTACAGAATAAGTTAGTTCATTATTTTGGACATAGAGTAAAAAAACTTTAAACGAATTATTGCAATTATATTTTGTTGAAAAAATCAACCACAAAAACAGAGAAGTTCCTTTATTAATTTTCCAGAAAATGAACCAGTGACTTGTCAATTAACAACTAAAATAAAAATGACATAAAAATATGGCCTCGTCTAGGCAAAGAAATCTATAAAACTTTAAATAGGTATATAATAAATATATTATTGAGACTGGCTCTAAATCATATACTCAAGTAAAGACAGTTTGAAAACTTAGATTTTTAAATATTTATCAAATTATTCTGAAACAGCAACTAAAAATCAAGTATTTAAAGCCCGACATAGTGTCTGGTACCGTGCCTACTGCTAGTCCCAAGGTAGTCATTCAGAATTAGATCCATATTGTTTTCAGTAGATGTCGCTATAGCATCTTTTGCACATTATTTGAAAAAATAATTAAGATGATAGAAACACTTTGTTTTCTGCAGAGAGCTTACCACAAGTTCGCTCTGATGATTCCATAAGGATGAAATATATTTAAGCAAATGGTTGTGCTCTTTATTGAAATTATATCCTAACTGCCTTTCTTATTTTTTGTTTATCTGCGCAATATGAGTACTATAAAATCATTTGATGGGTTTTGCCTAGACAAGTTGACGTGTTGTGGAATGAAATTTTTTGATTCCTTCCTGAATTGATTTCAAATATAGGTAATCTTCGGATTTATATTGTTGTTTATAACCTTTAATATACGAATTATTTTGCAAAGCTGTTAAATATTCTAAATTTATAGATTACGCAAAACGTTTAATCGAACTTATAGGGTTGCTATTGGTTCTGAGCAACTGAAGAAAGGCAGAGCAAGGTTTATGAAATTATTTTTAAATGGAGCTAAGGATGTAACACTTCTGGCGATTCAGTTACCGATTCTCAAATGGCAATGAATGGTAATAATGTGGATTTGGATCGCGTTTCCCAAATTAAAGAAGAACTGCCCTCAGTAGCAGAACTAGGTGGACTACGTCTTACTCCTTTAGAATTTGAAAAGGATGATGACACCAATTTCCACATGGATTTCATAGTTGCTGCTTCAAATCTACGTGCAGCTAATTACAAAATACCACCTGCTGATAGACATAAATCAAAACTTATTGCTGGTAAGATTATTCCCGCCATAGCAACTACAACCTCAGTAGTCGCTGGAATGGTTTGCTTGGAACTCTACAAACTCGCCAGAAGTGTTACATCCTTAGCTCCATTTAAAAATAATTTCATGAACTTATAGGGGGTATCAAAAATATATTGACTTTATTTAATCCTACGTTTAAATATTAATAACATATTGAACGATAGCTTATAGAAAAAAAAAACTAAATCTTGCAATTTTTTAAAGAAGAAGAGGCATCTAAACTAAATATATTATAGTAAAAAACAGTCCAGAGTATCAATAACAAACATGTTCTTTGCTTTCTATAAGAGTAACGTTAAGAGTATACTCACGTCGTCCTCTTTTAAAAGTTTTAAAAGCTTTGCGTGTGTACCGAAAAACTTTATGTTTTTAACTCTAATGCCCTCTTTTACTTTATGGGTGTGAATTTTCTGGCTAGTTTTTGATTCACTTTAAGATTTTAAACTTTTGAAATAACTGCTGCGCCTATTTTATAGGTTTTTATGATCTGCAGTGGCGATTTTTCAGCTTTGCTCAAATTTGATTTAAATTAACACAGAATAAAAGTCAATAATTTATTCACAAATTGTCTAATTTCAGATTCCCATTTTCTTACTAAATATAGCCAAATCAGACTTTTATGAACTGCTGCGGCACTTGAATAATTTACACTTTTACATATCTAGCCGATTTTTTAAATTTTTACCTCGTTTAAACGCACATTTTACGTCAAAGTGACGTTAATTACTAATGGCGGACCTAGAATAGGGTGTTAAAAGTAAAAGAGTCAAAATAAAATAGATCCATTTTACAAAATGTACGTGACATACGTATGTAAGTAGATATATAGGGCCGGTTCCCGACCATTTCATGGTGGAGGCGTCACATTGTGGTACCTCTCCATCAGGGTCTCGATGGAAACGTGTCGATGGCTCATTGAACGTACAAGAAGTAAAAGAAGCGATTGAAAATGACCAGAGGGTTATAATAAGTGGTTGTTTATCGCTTATTCTCTTCTTCTTTATGACATAGTGCCTAAACGGCCTATCGTGGCGTACAAGTAAAAATAACGATCGGAAATTATCAAAGGGTCGTAAGAAGTGCTCGCTTATCGCCTGATCTCTTCTGCTTCTTTACGTCATCGAAATTCGACGCAGAACGTGACAGTCGACGCAAAACGCGACACTAAACATGAAATGTCACGTCAAATGACGTGAATGATGTGGCATTCGATACAGAACGCGACATGTATGTGACATTCGACGTAGGATGTGACATTTATGTGACGCGAGCACTTCTTACGACTCTCTGGTCATTGCAGATCGCTTCTTTTACTTCTTGTACGTCACGATGAGTCATAAGCCGTTTAGGTACTATGACGTAAAGAAGAAGAAGAAGAGATGAAGCGATAAGAAACCACTTCTTACGACCCTCTGGTCATTGTCGATCGCTTCTTTTACTTCTTGTACGTTCAAGGAGCCATCGACACGTTTCCATCGAGACCCTGATGGAGAGGTACCACAATGTGGCGCCTCCACCACGAAATAATCTAGAACCGGCCCTATATATCTACTTAAAGAAAGAAGATGTTTTGAATAACGAAAATATACAAGATTGGGTTAAAAATATCCATCTTATTTTGAATCTATTTTAAATTAAATATCAATTAACAGTAACACAATTAATGTTTGGTGGAATCCCAATAATGTCGATATAACTTTGCCAAATATAATTTCTGTTCATAGGTAGCACCAATATCCTCATGTCATATTCAAGAAGCCCTTCCCATGCCTGCTCAATTGCTTTTCATAGCTTAATTCTATTCCATGGCCTAAGGTTTTTTTTTCATTTATTTCTTTGTCAACTCTGCTCACACATTTTTGATGGGCCGGGAAGGCCACGGAAGAATATTAACATTTCTTTCAACCATTCTTAAACAATTGTACTCGTATGCACCGGAAAATTGTAATGAGGAAGTTTTTATTGGGGAATCTCTAGATCACCGATGGCAACATTAGATTTTCAGCAATATATTTCTTATATCATGCTGTTAATTTTTCTTCTATTTGAGAACAAACGCCCGTGCCTCAGGACTTATCTATTTACATATGTTGATTGAAAATCCTTCACTATTTCTTAAATTATGAATCTACCGCTTATCTAACCTATGCTTTCTTTTCGGCCTATAAACTTTTATTCGGCCATTGCTATACTACTTTTTTATCGGAAAATGCAACGTTAGACTAAAAGTTGTCTTCACAGATTATAAATCCATTACAAAATGTAACCTGTCTTCTCTTTTGATCCTCAGTCAAAAAAGGTTTCCTTGCAGCTGCATAATTTATCAATTCACTTTCTTTATTGCTTCTAAGTTCAGTGTCTAGAAACGCTGTCTTTCCTCTAGCTTTTGGAGCTGCAGCTTCTTTCACAAAATCAATCTACTTACACCTTATTTCGTTGTTATGTGGAGATTTTCTGCCTTATTGAACTTCCTAACCATGCTATAGAATGAAAATTAGTCTGTTTGATTTACCATATGCACATATGGCTTATGGTCAAATCTGCAGCAACTTGCCTTAGTGACTAACCTTCTTCGATAATTGGCAATTTCTCTTGTTGTTTGCGCATCATTCAAATGGATTCTATGCATTTTGGATACGTTTAATAGTAATTTGATTTTTTATTAGTCACAAAATTTTTGACAAGCAAATCTGTACGATACTGCATGATTTTACAGTATTACAATGTAAAAATTAAAGTGTAAACCATTCAGTGATCGCAGTTGCATTGTAGCCTAGAATATTTCGTATTTGTTTCCGTTTCAAAAATTATGTTTTTGTATGTCATCTTTTCTTTTGAAGATATCATGTTTTCTTTAAAATGTTTGTCTTTCTTTTTTTTTTTAAATTATTTTTGTTCTTGCCTATAAAAGTGGTAGTTGGAATTAATTAATCTTAGTCAAACAACTGTATCCTAATAGCTGTAGGCTGAATTTTTTTAGACTACAAATGATACTTTTTGAAGCCCTTTACTTCTCTGCCAATGACTTGCAGCTGGGACTAATGTCTAATATATTATTTTATATTTATTAACATTGTTCTGCACTATGCACTGTAAGTTGTATCGTCAGTTCCAGATAGTCTCATGTTGAGATTATATTAATAGTATTTATAGTTCTACAGTCATCTTGATTTAACTGAATTCTAGATGATATACTCACTTAGAAATTATTTTGGAGATGTAAGGTGCTGTGCTTGATGAGAGTAGTATCATCTTAAGGTTTTGCATACAGTTAGCCCTATACCCAACCCCCAACCTGCAGGACCAGGTACTCTTCTGTCTGGGTTTCCATACTATAGCCAAAGGAGACATATATTAAAACAATTCTAATGGCGTATAAAATAAAATAGATTTGATAGGGCAAACACTGTTTTCCACATTATCTCATAAATAACAATAACTAGTTTAACAAAGTTCTTTTTTATTACAGGTATGTCAATCTACAGATATTTCACCATAAGTCGTTATTGGTAATTGAAACCTATGAGGTAAGTATCATATTTTTTGTTCCGTTACACTTTCGACCATAAGAAATATTTCTGTTCGATTTAAGGGTAGAAAATCTTGTAACCAATTAAATATATTCAGTACGAATGCAATTGATCAATTTCAAAGTAATTTTTTTATAAAACCAATAAAAAAACCGATTATTGTTAAAATTTAGACCAATAAAACCGTCAATGAATACACAAAAGTAGTGTACTAAGATTTTTCAATGAAAATTATTGTTTGATGAACATATCGCTAAATATCACCTTGCTAGTCTACTTTTTATTATTTCAGTAGACATGAGTTTTAGCCTCAATTTTTGTTGTATAACCATCTTTATCCTCACTGTCCCTAGTCTTATTTTCATTCTGTTTTGGAGCCACCAGTTGATTTTTTTAACCCATGTCTTCAAAGAAATCGGAGGTTATAACTCATTTTTCTAAGTTATCAAGCTACCTCTAAGTTTTGAGACAAGAAACAAGTACAAGAGATTACTTTTTTAACTGTAATTGCAAGTAATTGCTTTCAGGATCTGTATTATTCTCGTTCTTATATCTTTGTCGTCTAAATATGTTCTGTCGATTGTAACCTTTAGGTATTTATAGTTTTCACCTGCTTTTATTTTGTCTAGGTTTTCCAAATATAGGTAGCAACTTTCCTTTCCTATGGATAGATGTTTCGTGTTTTTAATATTTATACTAAGTCATTAATCTTCGTAGGTTTCTTTTAGCTTCGGTGCCATATATTCCCAATACCGCCTGCTCATCTGAAAACTTTAGGCTACATACTGTACTATCTATTAAAGATATTCATATTTACAGAACATTTACGTTTTTATTTTTAGTTATGTTTCTTTAATATAGGTTTTAAAAACTGTTAATCATACACAACATCCCTGACTTTTTTTGGTTTGGTCTACATCTGATGTTATCCATGTTCCTAAATATTTATAGTTATTAACATTCTCAATTGCAGTATCTTCAATAGTCAATTGGATATTTGCATGTGCAGATTTAGTCATGATCATGCATTTAGTTTTCTTTAAATTTATCTTCAGTCCGTACTCATGACAGCGTTCATTAAGGCGTTGCATTAGGTTCTGTAAATCATTGTTGTTATCCGTAATTATTACTGTATCGTCTGCAAAACGTAAGTTATTCAAAACTTCTCCATTGATAGATATACCTTCTATTGAATCTGAGAGCGCTTCTTGAAATACCGCTTCACTGTAGACATTGAAAAGTAGTGGGCACGCAACCCTGCGGACTCCTCTCTGTATTTTGATATTTTAGGTGTACTGGCTGTCAACTCTTACCTTGGCAGTTTGATTCCAATATAAATTAGATATAATTTTTAGATCACGACTGTCAATATTTTTGCTTTTTAATATATCTACAAGCTTTTTATGTTGAACTTTATCAAATGCCTTTTCAAAGTCTACAAAACATAAGTACATATCCTGATTCATGTCCATGCATCTCTGAGCCAGCACATTCAAGCCGAACAAAGCATCTCTTGTACTCATACCATTTCTAAAGCCAAATTGTGTGTCACTAATCTCATATTCA